TGCTTTGTAAAAAAAAAAAAAAAAAGGTGAAAAAAAATCCCGCCTCAATTCTTTTCTCACTTCGTTCCCTCACTCGCTCACTCCCAGACCCTCACTCACTCCCCCACTCGCTTACTCCCAGTCCCTCATTCATAGGGATAGTAATGGAGCAGGTCAGGTACAGATTTTATGATACTCGTTCCCGTTCTCGCGACTTAAATTCATCTATGTACCCGTACTCGCTAGGTATGTAATTTCTGTTCTAATTTCCGTTCCTGTTGGATATTGAGTATATCGTACTCGTAGTCATAAAAAATTATTATTATTTTTTTACAAAAAAAATACACAATATTTTTAACATATTGGGTTTTACCTACGATCCGTTCTGGAACGTGAAAAGTAAAATGTGCTAGTTGGGAAAATAAATTTGCACGGTTGTTATTTGGGTAAATATTTTTAAAATAGTATTATTTTAGTAAAAAAACTCTATCTTAGTAATGCATACAGTTTTTTAAATGTGATAATGTACATAAATTTAAAGTTTTAGTTTATTATAATTTTCTATTATGTATTACTAAAAACTTTATTCTGCACTGTATTCGAATGAAAAAAATATATATTTTAGTCAGCAAGAAATATATCGAAGAGTTGGTGCTGGACTAGCCGAAATATATATATTCTGTAGCATTTTATTTTATATTATTATAGAAATATGATAATTATTAGTAATTATTAAAATATTTAGATCAATTTCTTTATTAATTTTGATATATTTCTTTTATATATTATGTGAAAAAATATTAATTATTACTTATTAGTATTGATTAGATTATATATGTGATACCCTCTACCCAACATACATATACAATAATTATAAATAATAAAAAAAATATTCTCGGAGTAAATAAAATCATTTGAATTAAAACAATGGGTCCATTAACATAAAAGTAGAGAATTCACATTCGTAAGTGTGAGACCCGTAGTTTTTTTTTCCCTCCTTTCCTTCCCTCTCAACTCTCACTCTTTTCTCACTCTCGTTTTCACTCTTTGGTTGTTACAAGGTGGTGGAGCTGAGTGATTTGGGTTGCTAGCTAGAGTGCGGATTTCTCTCTTCTCCTCCCTCATTCGTTCAAGCTCTTCTTCATCTTCCTCTCCGTTTCCTCTTCCCGGAGCTTGGATTCTTGAACCGAGGTAAGGGAAGCTAGATTTTTGTTGATCTTGGCTGTAAATGAGTTCTAGAAACTCATTGATTGTTTGATGTTTGATGATTTTTGCTGAGATTGAAGAAATTGGAGCTTTCGGGTCTTCCGGGGTTTGATGAAAATCTTGGGGTTTTTCTTGAGTGTGGTTGCATGTGGGAAAAGATGGGATTTTTGGATTGTTTGATGAAAATGTGATGTTTTGGGCCGATTGCATGTGTTTGGGAAGTTGATTTTGTGCAGATTTTGAAGAAATTTTTGAACTTGGTGAGTTACTGCTGGGTATCACGCCAGGCGCAGTTCTTCGTGTCGGGCGCGAGACCATCAGAGGGTTTCATTGGGCAAGCACGTCAGGCGCAGTGGTGTATATGTCGGGCGAGCTTGAGAATGTGAGCCTCTGGATGGTCCACGCCGGGTGTGGTGAGAGGGCGCTAGGCGCGATATCAGTAGGTGACTTATGCTTTGTGGTTCTGGTTTGGCGCCGAGCGTGACTTTGTCTCGCCAGGCGTAGAGACTCCTTGGGAGTCTCTGCTAGAGGTGGCGTTGGGCTCAATTTATATTGCGCCGGGTGTGAGACCCTGGGAAGGTCTCTGCTTACCTTGTGCCGAGCGCGGGTTTGCACGCCGGGCATATGAGACCTTATGAGGTCTCTGCCTCCTATCACACCGGGTGCAATAGGAATTACGCCGGGCGCGATGACCCCTGGTGTCCTCTGGTTGTGCCACGCCGGGCGCGATCATGAGTGCGCCGGGCGCGGATAAGATGATATCTTATAAGCTGAAATTTGTTGATAATTGTTGTTAGACGATGAGCTGAGCTGTGCCGAATGTTGTTTATGCTAATCTAAAGCTGTATTTGATGTATATTGTTGTGCTATGCTGAGATGTATGCTGTTATAGCCGCTATGTCGGTACTGTTATTAGCCACTATTGTGGTACTATAGCCACTATGCACACTCTGATTCTAGATGGATTTGGACCTTGTATATATATATATTCTAGATCTTATATGTATATACTTGTTCGTTTCTATGTAGTATTTTGGTGTGTTGTGCTGTGTGTATTGACTAGGCGGGGCGTTACACTTTAGTGGTATCAGAGCAGTTCGAGTCTAGTGGACACTTTGTGGGGGTGGTTCCTTTAGGCTTTTGTTGTGCTGAGCTCTGTGTTGTGTTGTTTTGCAGTGCTGATTTCCTTGTTGATTGCTGTGCTGATGATTGTTAATTGGTTTAGTTATTGTATACTGAAGATGTTGTTACTTTTGTAGATAATGACTAGAACCAATGAGCAGATAGCCCGTGCCATGAAGATGATGGCTATGGCTATGCAGCAGCAAAATGCCTATTTTGCTCGGATGGATGCTGATAGAGCTGCAGCCGGTGCAACAAGGCCCACAGGATCGTAGGAGAGCCGGGATCTAGCTGAGTTCCAGAAATGCCATCCTCCTCAATTCAAGGGAGATGTAGATCCAGAGGTAGCTGACCACTGGATCTGTGAGCTGGAGAAGATCTTTGCTGTATTGGGATGTTCTCAGGAAAGGAGGCTGACATACGTTGTTTACATGCTGGTAGGAGAGGCTAAGCATTGGTGGAGGGGTACTCACCATATGCTTACTGCCAGAGGAATAGCTATTGACTGGGAGTGCTTCAGGAGAGTGTTCTTGGAGAAGTACTTCCCGGAGAGCGTGAGGCATGCAAAGGAAGCTGAATTCATGTGGTTGCACCAAGGAGGGATGACAGTTTCTGAGTATGCGATGAGATTCGAGCACTTGGCTCGTTTCTATTCGCAAGCTATATTTGAGGCCTGGAAATGCAGGAAGTTTGCTGAGGGTCTGAAATATGAGATGAAGAGGGTGGTGGTACCTATGGCCATCACCGAGTTTCCGGCCTTAGTGGAGAAGGCGAAGGTAGTAGAGCAGTTGGAAGGTGGAAACCGTATGGTGAAGGCTGCTGAGGGACCAGCTGGGTCCAAGAAAGGAGGAAATCAGAGGAAGCCATATGATAGGCCCCAACCACAACAAGGGGATCCTGTCATTAGGCAACCTTCTAGTGCTGCTAGTGGAGGGAGACAGGGTGGAGGTGCCACTCTTAGATGCTATAGGTGTGTTGGGCCCCATTTGATCAAGGATTGTCCACACACGGAGAGTCGGTGTTTCAAGTGTCAACAGATGGGCCATGAGTCGTTCAACTGCCTTACCAGAAATAGACCGGAGAGGGGTGCTCAGAGGAGTGATGTACAGAGAGGTGATGCCCAGAGGGGTGACAGACCCACTACAGCTGGTAGGGTGTTCGCCTTGACGGGTGCTGAGACTTCGACTTCTTCTAATCTTGTGAAGGGGAAGGGCAAAGCTGCTGGTAAGGATGTGATGTTTTTGTTTGACTCTGGGGCTTCCCATTCGTTTATTTCCTATGCATGTGCTGTTATGCTGGGTGTGCCTGTGTGTGATTTGGGGTTGAGAATACTAGTGTCGACGCTCGCTTCTACTTCGGTAATTGCTTCTGAGCTGTGTGCTGGCTGCCCTATTGTTGTGAATGGGAAGAAGTATAAGGTGAACTTGATTTGTTTACCTTTGGTGGACATTGACATAATCTTAGGGATGGATTGGTTGTCTTCCAATCGCATTCTTATAGATTGTGCCAATAGGAGGTTGATCTTTCCTCAGGTGGAGGAGGAGCTGTTGATTTCAGCTGGCCAAGCTGAATCATTGCTGAGAGATGGAGTAGAGTGCTGTCTTCTACTTACTGCTATGAGTGTGGAGACTGAGAGGGTCATTGCTGAGA